AAAGTTTCAGCGTTAGACTGCCAAAAATATGGAATACAGAAAAATAAATCTGACTGTGTAGGTGGAGGAGAAGGAAGTAGAATATCAGTACTAGAAAGCAAAAGAGACAGCAATGCTCTTGCCAAGCTGTGAGTTTTCAGGTTATAAATATCCCACAGGGTGGACATTTCTAAGGCCTGCTACAGTAAGTCTAATATTCATGACTGTTATTGTGGACAATGTTGGAGGAAAATCTCAGTTTTACTTATAAGTTATTATTTTAATAAAAGTAATCCAGATGCAAGTATACGGTGTAAACCTAACAGTGTTTCTAAGCTCTGTTTAATTGAATATGTTGATCTGGACAATATACAAAGGGCTCTTAAAATCCAGACCCATATTTATTATTTAAACATCTTTCACATTTTTTGGAGACAGTATCTCATTATATATTCCTGTCTAGGTTGGAACTGGCTATGGAGGGCCAGACTGGCTTCAGACTCATAGACTGGGCTGCTGGATTCTGCCTTTTTCATCCCGAGATTAGAGATGGTGTGTTGCACCACTATGCCTGGATTTAAAAGTCTATCTTCCTTGTTTCCATCTCTTTAACTTTTCAGTTTTCTACAGTCTGTGAAACTCACTTCACTTTATTGTCTTTTATTTCCATAATGCACAGAATTATTTGGCTTTGGTATCATTCCAAATGGAATGAGTTTTCCAAACAAATTAAGCATTCTTAATGAAAAAAAAAAAAAACAAAGGTCTTTCCTCTACATGAAAGAGGTGGGCTTTATTACAGATTTATACAAGGCTCTGCAGAGTTCTAGAATTATTTTACTGTTTTAATATGAATCATAAAAATAGAGAGAAAAACATGAAATCTAACATATTTTATTTGAATAAAGAAAGGTAACAAGGTATGTTATCTTTTCATTTGTTATTTGGATTTTGATTTTATCTAGTTAAAAATCCATTTGTCTAGGGTTGAGAAGAACTTGAGGGAATGGGATAGTCAAGATGGAGGAAGAACAGAGATGAGAGCAAAGAAAGGGATATCTTGATTGAGGGAGATATTATAGGGTTAGCAGAAACCTGGCTCTAGAGAAGTTCTCAGAAATCTACAAGGATGACCCTACCTAAGACCATAAACAACAGAGGAGAGGGGGCTCGATCTTGACTTTCCCTGTAGTCACACTGATTATTATCTTATATATCATCATAGAACCTTCATTCAACAGCAGATGGAAACAGAGGCAGAGACTCACATCAGAGCACTGGACTGAGCTCCCAAGGTCCTGCTGAAGAGTACAGGGAATGAGAATATGAGCAAAGAGGTCAAGACCATGAAGGGTTCATTTACTGAAACAGTTTATCTGAGCTGATAGGAGTTCACCAACTCCAGCTGGACTGAGAAGGGAAAAGCATAGGACCAAGCTAGTCCCTCTGAATGTGGTTGACAGTTACATGACTGGGGCAACCTGAGGGGCCACTGGCAGAGGCACCAGGATTTATCTCTACTGCATGTACTGACTGTGATCCTATTCTCTTTTGGTGTATACTTGCTCAGCCTAGATATAGGATGGAGGGACTTGAACCTTCCACAAAGCAATGTGCCTTACCCTCTCTGAGGATTAGTTGGGGATGGGGTGGGAGGGTGTGTGAAGGGGATGAGAGGAGGGGAGGGAGTGGGAACTTGGATTGGTATTTTGTTTTAAAAAAATCTAATAAATTTTTTTAAAAAAATAAAAAAGTCCATTTGCCATCCCAGGAATAGCACCATAGATCACATTGTGATGGTAATCCTTTTATATGAAAAAGTGGAAACTTCCATGGAGAAACCTTATTTTCCGTGTGTGTGTGTGTGTGTGTGTGTGTGTGTGTGTGTGTCTGTGTGTGTGTGTGTGTGTGTGTGTGTGTGTGTATTTCAGAATTTCAATTTCCAAGGAATTGTTTCAGCTCACAATCAGAGACATACTATGAGGATATCATGAAGCTAGTATCAAGGGCTGTAGAGACAGGTCAGTGGTTAAGAGCATTTGCTGCTCTCATAGGGCACTGCAGTTTATTTCACTCACAACAGCCGAAAAATTCAGTTCCATGTAAACTTCTGCTCTCTTCTAGCCTCTGCAAGCCGCTTCATGCACTTTCATGCATACACAGGCACACACTCACTTGTAAATGAATAACAAAAGGACATTCACAAAGATTTTAACAATATAAAGGGAGTCAAAGAAAAACTCTCTGTGTGTTTGCTGAGAAGATATTTTTATTATAGATTTCCAAATTCTTCAGTACTTTAGAAGCAGAGGCCAGATGATCATATGTTCAAGTCTTTCCTTGCCATATAATGTTTTTGTTGCCAGCCAGGGCTTTAGGGAACCCTGTCTCAAACCAAAACAATTCTCAAATTCTTAAACTAATATTAGAAGAAATGCTTGTATAAAAACCGGTTCAAGAGAAATAAAATTGCTAAGGACTACACTGTGTAATATGTGTAATAGATTATTATGCTGTCTATTATTTATTAGACAGATATATCCTGATATTTAGCAATATGTGGCAGTTAATAATTGGTAAATATATTTTGGTCATATATCTTTTAAATATGCATCAATATTTTAGAATTTTCTTGGTATGTTTGCATACATTATTTTAATTATCATGGAATTTCTATTTAGAGAGAGGAACTCATTTTTTTTTCTCTGTCACTCTAAGAGACCACTAAGAGACTCAAATGACTTACTGGATAGTGTAACCAGAGAGTTTGTGCTAATATTACTTTATTCCATTTAAGCTGATTTTTACGTTAAGAATAACCATTACAGGAAGTCTATAAACACTTTCTTACCTGTGGTAGTAGGATCTTCTCTCCCTCATGCACAACCTGCCATATTGTGCCACTGATTGTTTTTATAATTTCCTCCAAATGATTGCTTCATAAAACCTGCTTGTAATTGTGTATAGCATTTAGACAGTTTCTGGACAGCAGAAATTTAGGTCAGCTGACATTCGTAATACTTTAAAAATAGTTATTTTAAAGACAATGATGATGCTGACCCGATGTGAATGATTGATTATACAAGGTAAATGATTATTCTATTTCATTTTCAGGTATACTGTGAGAGCTCTTGTATATTACAACATTGCCTGATTTTGATGCACTTACTTGCTACTTTTCTTTGACCACAGTTTTTACCTTATATCAAATTAAACAAAGATATATATTAGTTCCTTTAAAATCGGTGGTGTAAATAAAAGTGATTTAATTCATTCTAGGAAAATTTGTGTTCAACATCTTGAATGGTGGTTTTTAAGACTTTTACTAGTCTTTACTTAAGAACTAATATCCACATTTAAGTGAGTACATATCATATTTGTCTTTCTGTGTCTGAGTTACCTCACTCAAGATGATTTTTGATAATTTCATCCATTTGACTGCAAATTTCATGATGTCATTTTTTCTAATAGCTGAGCAGTACTCTATTGTGTAATTGTAACACTTTTTCTTAATTAATTCTTTCTTGGAGGGACATCTAGGATGTTTCCAGTTTCTGGCTATTACAAATAAAATTGCTATGAACATTGTGATCCTGGGGGAGAAAAAAAGAAAAAGAAGCTGGGATGAATCTATGAAGTGAAAAATGCATGTCAGGATATAATGTATGAGAGAAGAATAAAAAGAAAAATTGAGAACAAATATATTGCATTAGAAATGAATTTGATCAACCATTCTGAATTTTTGCTCTTTTTCTACAAAGTGAATAAAGTAGTGTGAAACTAAGTATTAATGTTTACCAAAAGAATATTTACAACGAAACCAAAACTTTGAAGAACAGTTAGCATTTATATGAGTTTTCTGATGAATTTCTTACAAACAGCAAATAGTCTATTGAAAATAAATTCAGTTGGATATTAGACCTTGGTTATTATGCTTTGCTTTATAGATTTACTAAGTATTTGTTGTAGACTCTATCAGTTTGTTCTCTTGTAAATGAAAAGATATACCTCAAGAGTCAAGAAGATGTGCAGAATGCTTACATCAATTGTAATTTTTGTTTCACTCTCCTTTCTGGAGTCCTGTTTTCCTGTACTCTTAGAAAAAAATGTTCTATGACCTCAACAAAGCAGTCATTAACAGATTTGGTTAGAAAATAAGGAAAAATTGTGAAATATACCTGGACATGGCATGTGTGACAAGTAACAAAATATTTTACTAATCATATGCTCTAATAAATATTAAACTTAAATTTATGGAAAAATAACAAAATATATATCTAGTTTTATATAGCATACAAATGAAAAATTCAATCTAACTTTCAAAGAAACATTTACTGGTTATGAAAGTTCCCCATATCAAGCCTATTTCAGCCATGTCTCAGAAAGAAATGCATGTATTTGTCAGGTACGTTCTTGTTCATTTTTATACTCTTACATTATAGATTGTGAATTCTACAGATGTTATCTTATGGATATTGATAAGAATTAGCTTTTTATTCTTTGTAATTATTAAACAAAATTTTGGTGACTGATTATGATAATTGAAATAAGTGATGAGGTGGATTGGTAGGAAGATTACTGATTTATGCTCTTTGTACTTTGTCTTATAAACATTTATTTTGATGTATGTTTGCTGGAATATATTGATATTTATTTAGGAATTAGTTTGTATGACAATTTTAATGATGATTGCTTCTCATTTAAGTTTTCCATTGAAGCTGATAAACATCATTCAACCAATCTTCTCGTCACCATGAGAAAGGAACTGGATGTGGGAATTCTCTCTATTTGGGTTTTTCAAAAATGAGATCAGAAGAAACGTTCTACCATTTCCATTAAAAAGTCCTGAAGAATTTTCCCCAGGTTCTCACAAAGTGTGTAGAAATAGAACTCGTTTCATGGAAAAAAAATGAATTCCACAGCACTTCTTGTTAATAACTGTTCAGCTACAAAATTTTATTGATATCTTTTTATGTTCCCTCTAGAGGATGTAATGCACAAAAGCATTGCCACGGAACATATAAAATTACAAATGAAATTTATTGTAAAAAGTAGAATGTCTTATAGACTGGTGTCAGTATTTATTTCATTCATAAACCAAAACTGTAGTATAATATATTCATTGTCAGCAAGTTCATGTATGTAAATTGCCATCCAACGTTATTGACTGATATAAGACAGATATTGAAAAGACAATTTAAATTTACTTTTCCAAACATAAACTGTTCCACAAAAGCACTGTAAAAACTCCTTCAAGGTTTTGGGTTGTGCTTGACATTTACGGTTAACTACATAATTTGGTTGTGTCATAATCCACTGTGTTTGGTAATTTGGCATTAAATGCCTGCAGAGCAGATTGAATTCTCACCACCTCACTAGTAGACAGCTTGAGTCTATGACGAAGCAAGCAAGAGAAAAGATCTAGACGGCGCTGACCAGGTGGGGAGAGTTTATTTACACGGTCTCTTATCTCTAGTAGCTGCAAAAGTGCCGAGTCCTGGGATCCCTGAGTGTAAGGGTAGTCCAGCTGCAAAATCAGGTCCCGGATAGCTTCAGGATCGAAGTGCATGCTGTAGCCAAACACTTGAATGTTGTTGATTTTCATGTAGCCCAGGTTCCGAGAGGGGTCAATAAACTCCAAAGGCTCATAGTAAATGCTTTCGTTGCTGTTGGGGCCATTTGCCTTGATGCGGCTCCTCAGGTAGATGTGTACTGTTTCAAAAAACGTCTTCCATTTGTTTCCCAGAGTCAGTGTCCAGTTATAGCACTGCAGTGGGAGGTCCAGCTTAGTCCGCTCCCAATCGGGAAAGCTGCTCTCACTCACAGGCATAAACCAGCTCTCGGAATGACTGCCTCCGAATGGATTGATGTAAACAGCCAGCACTGGCTCCAACGTGCTGTTTTTAGTTAAGCAAATCTGTAAAGAGAGACCCAAGATCATGTGGACCAGGCTGGACTTGTACTTGTTACTCTTCAGGGTCAGGAGCATCCGCTTTCTCCAGGAAGGATCGAACCAGCTATTGAGACGCATGTCATTGCTGATAAAGATGGCATGGACTTCTATTCGTCGGTCGGTTTTCTGCAACAGGTATTTCATCTCCAGGTCTTGCAGGTCAGTCTCAAAGCCAATGTAGTGGTCAGTTGACTCAGCGACTTCAGGCTTGCACAGTCCCTGGCTCAGCATGTAGCCCGTGTTGCAGGTGCCGCAGCGGGTTCGGTTGTCAGGTGCACATGTCAGGCAAGCAGAGGCATCGCCCACAGTGCAGGGCAGAAAGGCTGTGCACACGACCTGGTCGTTCGGACAGGTGCAGGAGTGGGTCTCCTCAGAGAAGCTGCCCAGGAGGCCGTTCTCATTGCAGTAGAGAAAAGACTGGATGCGAGAGAGCCAGTAGGTTGAAGTTCTAGAAATAAAAAAAAAAAAAGCAAATCTAAATAAATACTTCGATTCTGTTTAGCGAGTGTGTGTACTTGAAATGCCATAAAGTAAATACCAGCTCACCACACTCTGAACTTTTTGTCAAATTTACAAACAGCAAAAATAAAAAAAAATAAACCATCACACGCACACACACACACGCACGAAAAAAGAAAAACAATTGAAACCAATTGATTTCTCTTTATTATTACTTCCACAAAATCCAGAAACTGCTAGATTGTTTGAAACATATGAAGTATGGGTGTTGGACAATGGATGCAATGGGAAGTCATTAGGTATTGGGGGTAACACGATCATTAATGAGTTTACTCCATGGTCATCGAGAGTAAATTCCTTAAAATGATCAAGTTTACCCTCGATGCTGTCTCTTGGCAGTAGCAGCACCACCACCATCAACTGCAGCAACAATAACGACAGCAATCTCTCAATAGCTTGCCCATGAATCTTGGATTCCTGGCCCTGGAACTGAGAGCCATTCAGTTTATTTTCATTATGTACTAGTCAGTAAGCGTCTAATATTGTGTTTTAGGAGTGTCACTGGACTAAGAAAAATTCATTTCTGAGTTTTTTCTAAATACTTTTAAGATGAGTTCTCTGAAAAATTCTCCCCACACTGTGCCTAAATGTTGAAAAAGTTATGCAGCTCTGTGTAATAAGATGTGAGACTGTATGTATGCAGTTGTTGGCCTATTTATTTCACTTTGTTCTGTTTCTTTACTTCTGTTTGTCTCCCTCCATCTTTCCTTTCTTTTTCCTTTTTTCCTTCTCTCCCTCTCTCTCTTTCATTCACTCCCTTCCCTCTTACTTTTCGGTTTCCTTCCCTATATTCTTGCTTATTTAGTTCTGTACATGTGTCTCTAACATAAAGCATATAAAATGCATATCACATCTGAATTGAGGATTCAAATTTCCTCAAAATCAAAGCATAAATTCTTAGCTCAAAGTCATCTCTCACTGAAAACTGTAATCATGTTTCGACATCATAAAGACAAATTAGTTGGCCTAACCCTAAAGGCAGAGATCACAATTGTAAGGTACTATAGAAAGAATTGTTGGGGCATTGAGAAAAAGCAGTTATTTTCTTAGCTTTTACATATTGTCACCCAGTGTTTAGACTATTCTTGTTCTCACAGGCATACTGATAAAACATCGTGCTCATTTTCTTGCTTTTCAGCTTGTCTTATGGATATTGACAGCTTAGCCTTCATCCAATCCCTGCACCTGCTACGGAGAACTAGCAATGGGAGACTTGCCACACAGCCTCTTGTCCTTCCCCTTATTAACCACCCTCTGACCACTTGACTGTACGTCACAAGGAAGTTTTCAACGAAAAAGAAATTCGATAAATTTCTTTTCTTTACTCTTGGTGAAATCTTGGTGTAAGCAGCTGTCAAAATTGGGTACTCAGCCAGCTTCAACATTGCTTAGTGGATTTTTTAAAATGTACTGAAAAATTCAGATGGTTTTCCCCAGACAGAGTAAAATTTGTTTCTGTTGCATAATTTCATAACTTTAAAAAGATTTTGAATTAAATATCTTCAAAATTCCTGAGTAGATTATGTTTTTCATATTTCTTTTTTGACAAAGTAGTAAGCAAGTAAAATAATATTGTCTTCTGTTGATGCATATTTGCACATCCACATATTCACACACACACACAGATTGCCGAGGCATATTTATACCACATATTGACACAAACATCACTGATGCATATTCACACATCCACAGGTTTACACAAACAGATCATTGATGCATATCCATACATACACACATACACACATTCACATGCAAACAGATCATTGATACATATTTGCACACACACACAAATTCACATACACAAATCCTTGGCTCAGATAAACTAAGATTTATGAGGTTTAACCACTGTATAGTTTTCCTACCATCTTGGTGGGAGACAGGATCATCTACAACTTTTTATCAAGTGTTTGTCATTAGTTTTGACATTTACTTAAAAACAGTTCATAGAATGAAGAGAGAATGAAATGATGTAAGAAAAGATTAGAAGGAAGGAATGGAAGATAAAAAAAAACCCAAATCATATGAAATAGACACCATGGATTTTGAAAAGCATAAGAAAGAGGCTTGGGGACAAACATAGGGGAAAAAAACAATCCAAGCAATTACTACCTAAATACATGAAAAATAAAAAGAACCCATTTGTCCCTGCCCCATAAATGGGAGTGGTTGCTATGTAACCAAATTTTCACAAAAATTTGCAGGATATATTACAAGGAAGAAAGTACTTTCCCAAGTTCATCTCAAATCTGCTTGGGAATAAAAAATTAGTTAAGACCTAGGGACACCTAAATCATGATGAATTATGTATTATACTAACTTGAGAAGATAAATCCCTTGCCATAAGGCAAACACTAAAGCCTAGCTTAATAAACAAATTCTGTCGTGTTCCACAAATATGAGTTTACTGTTTCATAAAAGACCTCACAAAATGGGTCAGTTGCATTGAAAAAGAATAAAATATCAGAGGGTTGTTTTATGAATCAAAGTAGTCCTTCAAAAATTCCAAGGTAACCCATAATATATATGTTTGCAGAGGACCTAGCCCCAACACATACAGGCTCCTTGATTGTAAATTCAGTCTGTGTGATCACCTGTGAAACCTGATTAGATCATTCTGTCAGTTGCAGAGGTGTCTCCTACCCCTCTGGCTTCTATAATTGTTCAACAATACTTTCAGATAGCAAAGGCCTTAATTCTCCCATCAAAAGGTACACAATGACAGAATGAATGAAAAACCAACATCCATCTTTCTCTTGTATACAAGATTTCTAGTAAGAGCAATTAAGTAATATCATTTCTTGACTGTTTATTAAGATAATATGTTAAACACAGCTAATGTCAAGTTATTTCAGATTTCGATGCATATTTACTTTCTTGGCATATGATTATTATGTAATGAGATTATACTCTATAATATAAACATTATTTTCCTGTGATATTTTTAAATAAATATTATTTTGTTTTAATCTTAAAAGCTTTTTATTCTGTATCTTTGCAATAAAACTGTTAAACATTTAGAAAAAAGAATCAAAGTACATTTAGTTGGATAATTAGAATACATGCAGAATTAATAGGAAAAAAATACAAAATCCTATTTCTGTGATCATCACTGCTGTTACTACCATAACTTTAAAAAAAATCATTGTAAGTAGTTCCTTTATTATAACTGAATTTCCCCAGGAAAAATGAGCATTTTTCTTTAACAATTCATATCTCCATGATTCATAATACACTGTAGCAATACATTTAAATTTCATGACAATAGGTGCCCTTTTGTTCACTGAGACTCTACTCTGAAGTGCATGCTGTTTCCATGTGATGTTTGCAAAGCCCTGGAAAGTTTTGCAGTATACATTGTAAATGCTAACAATTTTCTCTGAGGTATTAGAACATGTGTTGATACAAAAACAATTACCTCTTCTCATTGTTAAATCCTCTCTGAGCACTAATAATCTTATTTCAAAGGTCCTTTATTTCAGCCTTCTAATCCTTTATTGCTTCCCAAATCTGTGGAATGTGTATCTAAATTTTAAACCTAAACAATATAATTTCTGTATCTCTTTGAAATTGAGGATTACTCTTTTGGGAAGGCCATTTCATTTTAGCTTTCATAGATTTGTCCTCCTTAGACCTTAATACCTTAAACTAAATATAAATTCTGGGGATTAAACACCCACAGCCATTTAAACAATCATAAGCTGATTGTTAGCTCAGTCAGAGAGATCAAGCCAGGAAATTCTCTGTCACTCTCCTTTTTCACTTGGCTGCTCTGGGCATTGCAGTCTTGGCAGTATTGCCCAGGGCTCAAACTGACACTTGACACACAACAGTTTTGCTCTTGGAGATAATTGTACACTCTGAGGAAAGGAAAATTCATTTTTAAACTATCATTTTCTCAGTGAAATTTACAGAGTGATGGTGGGATTAGGTAAGAGAGAGGGGAGCAGGAACAGAGACATGTGATATATGTTTATATTTCTTGGTCAGAGACAAAAGAAATAAACTAAATTAAATTAAAATAAATATCATTTTGATATTCTCCATGAAATACCTTCTGAGCATTTTTCAATATGATTAAAATCTCATGATTAGGTTAAAAAAGAATCTTTAAAAAATTAGGGTAAGTGGCACAGGACTATAATCATAGCGATTCCAGACTGATGATGAAGGAATGAAGTTGAAAGTCATCCTGGGCTATAGAAAGAGTTCAAGTCTAGCTAAGGCAATTAGATTTTTTTCACAGAGTAAATTCAGAAATTTGTCTGAGGATGCAGATCGGTGGTAGATTGCTTGCCTAAAACACTTTAGTATCAATGTTTAATGGAGAGACTGAAAACATAAATACTATGAAATTGGGTATTAATTTCATGGGATAATATACAAGTTTGCTGTATTTCTAGCCGAAATGTCCATTTTCATTTATTATAGCCTTGAACATTTAAAATTAGAATGGGGAAATGGGTCAAGTCAAATCACTACCATCTTTTGGTAGTGTATTACTTCTTCAGAATTATTTGGAAAGAAAGTGAAATGTGATCTCTATCCACAGTTTGGAACATGGAACGAATCTTTCAGTCCAGGAAGTAATAGTTACATAAGAGGTTGTAACCTTTGGGTAAGCAGAATCTATCTTATGGTGATGTTTTGGTTTTGCATGATTTTGAATGCAAATAATAAAATCAGAAAAGAGACTCAGGCAAAGTTGTTCAAATCCTTTCAAAAGAGATGTGGCTAGATTTGATAGACTAGTAAGACAAAATAGACTGTGTGTGTGTGTGTGTGTGTGTGTGTGTGTGTGAGAGAGAGAGAGAGAGAGAGAGAGAGAGAGAGAGAGAGAGAGAGACAGACAGACAGACAGACAGAGAGACAGACAGAGAGAGGAGAGAGAGAGAGAGGAAGGGGGTGAAGGGAGAGACAGAAATAGAGAGA